ATAGAATGTCGAAATGGAACTCTAGTGTACAAGGTTAAAGGTGGGGGTGAAGGGTGGATAAGACATAAGATTCAGATAAGACGTCCATATACTACGTCCCAAGAACATAAGTTACCACTGGATTTACTACTGGAAACCTTCAAAATACCACCAGTCAAACCAGAAGCAAAACAAGAGATGCTACCCAGCCGACGATCCCAGCGCAAATGAACACAAACAGCTCATTTTCAAATTGACCCTAGGAAAAAAGATACTAAACTGTCTGCAAATTTCTTTCTAAAAGGAGGAGGTAATATATACACTGGTGACTCATCAATACTGATTTTTCGCACCTGCATGATTAGTCATTTTTCACATCTGCAAGACTGAATTTACTGAATTCCAATTGGTTGTTAATATTTTTTAAATGTGGCATTGATTTTCCTAACTGTATAAATACGGAGTTTTGTTTAACAATTTCGGCTGTTGTAGAGACAGTAAAAGCTCTCGTATCAACGTCCAGTCTTCTTTCTTTGTCTTCTGTGCCCGGCGGTATTGTTGTTGTTGACGTGCAATTAGGACAGATTAGCCAGCGCATTAAGTTAGATTCGCTCGTAGTCTCCAAGGTCATAATATTCATACATTACATTCCCGTATCACAAATAATATGTTTTTTATGATCTCACATGTAACGCATCACTTGCTTGAATATATTTTTTCTACGTTACATTTTTCGAATATTTTTTGTTCAGGCCGACTCCATTCCATCTCTTATAAATTTCTCCCGACGAGGTTCTCAGTGTTCTTGTTCTCTTTTCTAAGTGCGACGGGTCCCGGCCGGGAAGCAAAAGAAAGACACCCATTGGTAGAGCTTTGCTAATGGGAGTAACATCATTCGATGCGAGAATTTAGCTCGGACGTCTTATTAAGCAGAAACTCATCACATTTGTGCATTTTCAAACGCATTAAAACTCCGCCAGGTCAGGACGCAATAAACTGCTCTGATTTTTCGGCAGCTGTCCCAAAGTTAAACAATGGGGCGAAGAGTTGTCCAGTGAGGTTACTTCACGACCACAACGTAAACTATGTCCAGATTTGAGGAATAAATACTTCTACCTCTGCAACCACTGACTTAGAATGCTGATTTCAACTATTGGACGCTCCCCACCAATCAACATCTGTACAGCACATACTAAACTTGTCTCTTCATCAGATATTTTTTAATGGAGCCTCTCTGTACTCTTGGTAACACCCTCCCCTCTTGCATCCTGTTGTTGACTTGCTTATCCCACAGTGTCCATCTCCGGAGTAGTGAAAGCTGAATGAGTCTACCTGGTTCAGTTGAGGGTTATTCGTCCCTTGAGGAGTCTGTGGTCTTCGCTGTTACGCATGGTGCTCAAGGAAAGTCAGACCGTTTGGCGCTCCTGTGGTGATTACAGAGCCCTCAATGATCGAAACATCCCAGACAGGTACCCAGTACTGCACATTCAAGACTTTGCTAATAGTCTTCGAGGTGCTACCGTATTCACTAAAACTTACTTAGTTCCCGCCTATCAGGTATTATGGTTGCTAAGGAGATAACCTACTTGTGGAATAGGGATGACGGATAGCCACAACTTATTAGCTGAGACAAAATTTGGCATTGGATCCAGTGATCGCGTTGGAATGTCTGCTACACCTTCGACGACTGGGATGGATGGAAGACTGATATGAAATATTCATGTAATGCACTACATATCACAGATAGCCTTAGCATTTGCAAAAAACTTTCTATTAGCCCTGATATTCACCAGTAGGCGATTTGTTACTTGAGGCGCACATAGGTATATTAATGAATATGTATGCAGCGATTGTTTCTTGCATATCCTCTGTAAAGATTTGTCCTTTTTTGATTCTTACCAAATGATGAGTACGCTCATTTCAGTCGCCTTTCATCATGGTAAATTATACATTCTGCTACAAATGCTGCCTTCTTGATTCATACTTATAACCAAATGATTCATTCGTGATCTTTTTGATGCAGAGTTGGTCGACATAAGTTCACTATTCCAACATTTAAAACTAGGCATTCTCACGGCTTTAATTCGAAATATTCATTAATGGTGAAAACAGGAAAATTCATGGTGATTGAATTGTATATTATAGCTACTTAATGAAATTTTTTTCACACTGCCACTTATACAAAAATAATATGGCTGTGACAGCATTTCATCACCATTCTCATGAAAGACATTGGACCTTGAACACTTGCATCTTGGTGGTAAATGTTCGTGGATATTGTATGGGTGTCCAATGACCTCGTTTAGTATAAATAGTCTCATTCTCACGGGAAGCGACAGTCCCTACCACAGTTTCAACGCTTTTAAATTGGTAAAAGTACAGCGCTGTACAATCAGATGTATGACTGTGCATCATATTTACGTTTATTTCAAGACTCTTTATTGTATTCATAGTAACTAACTGCACATTACATGACTAACCTCGGTATACTGATTAATTGTTAGTCTATCAATAAATTGTTGGCATTGATTTCCGTCCTTAAACATTAGTCGTGCTGCAGCCGAGTTAGCCAGTAAATACCTAAATAGTATAGTAAATTCTGTCATCATTCCTAAATTTGAGTTTCCTGCTAAGGAGAAGGGGGAGAACAGAATAAGCCCATTGCTAAAAAGATAAATAAAGATGCAGAATCAAAAGCACATTTGGACGAAACAGGACACCGCATATAGATATATCCTCCCGAAAATAACATCCGAAGAAGTAAGGCACACGTTAAATGTTCTGTGAATATGATACTCACTGATTGAAATTCAACTAGGCTGGTCTATTATGAGTTAACATAGGCGTTTTCCAATACTCCATGCACTTTGCTCCCTCCGAAAGGGGCATGGTGGACATGTGTTAAAGGGACTCATCTAGCTAGCAATATCTGACCTACGAAGTCGAGGATAGACCATGATAAATAACGTCGCTGAATTTTACTTATAAAATCTGATATTCAAATAATCGGTGGACAACAGATCAACAGATCGAATAAATTGTAAAGATAGCAGATATAAGTGAACATGTATTTCATAAACAAGTTGTTTAGGAAATTAAGCGTAGAGACGTAATGAAACACGAAATTACATTAATCATGCGATACACTTCGATAGTTACTCTTCTCGTCCTGTTTTCACTAGTTATTAATTGCCTACTCAGTAGACCTAAAATCTACAGGACGGACTGTGTGGTGAGAGACTGTATGGAAGAAAAATGGTAATTTTTATTCTGTTCTCCAAAATATCTGTTGAATCAAACTTCAAAACTACCCAATAAACTACAGAAGATTTAGGTAATATATGACTGTTCAACTCTTTATTCACCAACTTCTACGCCGTTATAATTCTTTGCCACTTTAGTGACCTACAACGTTATTACTTCCTGCTCATTTTTAAGATCAGATAATTTTTATGAACTTGTGAAGAAGAGCTGCAGTAAAACCTGACTGTCCAATAAAAGTGACTATGAAGAATTGGGTCATTAAACACTGGGCGATTATTAGTATTAAGTTCACCAAATAACAGGACAATTTCAAAATGGCTATAGTAACAACAGGTCATTATGGTCTCCATTACGTCGAGCAATAAATGTATTTCATAGAGAACCTGTAAATCAGGTGCTATTCCATTTGTTTCTTTTCGAATTTTCGCACTTTAAATGTGCTCCAAGAGGTAGTAATTGGTGTGCAGTTATTGATTGGCTTCAAGTTAAGGATACACTATCGTAAGGTAGCATATACAACTCATCCAGGTCACTGATAATTTCCTCAGACTCATGTAATGCCCTCTGTTACTGTCTCTTACACCAATTTCCAATAATTAACCAAATCACACTCTACTATTTGCCTTTTTACCTGTTATTACTGGCACCACTTTTAACAGACCTCTTTCAGGAAAAAGTAAATACTTAATAGTTACTTTTATTCCTTTGAAATACACTAATCGTTACCAGCACTCGTTTTTCCCCTAATCAAGCTTCTCCTTGTAATTTCATGGTAATCCATTTTCTGTCACATACTAGGAATTAAATTCTGACACACATTTCTATGAACATAGTAGTGTCTGCCTGCTTTCATCAAGTGATCAGTGCGTTTACACAGTTGTTGTCTATTCGCCCAGACTGACTGTAGGGAGATTATTATCACCCAATGTGTTTGGGTTTGGAATTGGTGAATGATGCAACTGAAATGAGTGATTACAGTATACTGTAGAAAATTATGTAGTTTTCAGAACCAATGAGAGAAAGTTAAGTAGCTAACAACAGCCAGTTACAAGCACACTGAATATTGAAGGTAAATTAGCGGGCTATAGCTACGTAGCGGTACGATGTTCCAGGTAGTAAATATTTGTCCACTAAACTTTTGTTTATCACGTTTACAGTGTTTTAGGCTATTAAGACAAGTCCCGAAAATAGTTCCCAGTCATTCCCTTTTTACTCAGTGTACAGTAAAAAAGCCGAAATTCCATCCTGATCTTAATACATTAATACACCAAAATGATGCTTTTGAGAACAAATACGTTATCAAAGATTCACCCGAATCTCCGGAAATGTTTAAAAGTATTTTGGGAACGACACTTTACTTGGGAATAACCGAATCAAATAACCTTGTTAGATATCCGTCACAAAATATAGTTCCTGTTGAACTAAAGAATGATATCAAAAACCGCAGGCGAAAAATGAAAATTCATCAGAAAAGAAGATTGCAAAAGCGTCATGCAGTGCTAACGCGGAAGCTGCAACTGATGAGGGAGAAAAAGGAGGAGAAAAAACTACAGGAACTGTTTGAGTTTTGGAGGATCCGTTCAGAAGCGTGGGATCCAGCTGAAAAAGTCGAAAATAGATTACATTTGGCCCGAAGATCAGGTTATTATGTTGATATACTTAAAACAAAAGGCAGTCCATTTTTAAAGGAATAAATGATTCCAAATAAATCCCTTGTTTTGATTTGTATCTTGTTTCGCATGATTAAAGTTGCAACTTTCATTCTAGGAACCGAGTGAAAATCGAGTGTATGCAAGAGACCTTTCAAACCCAATATATGCATCCAGATGCGGTCAAGAAGCGCTACAAGACATGCTGAGTGGACTAAGAGACTTAATGCTGTTATTTTATGCCTGCATGGACCCTAAGAACAGGAGTATGAGTACTCACCAAGCGTCAATTGCTGGGCCACAATGTTCTGAAACCTTGCAACAAATGAAAAACAATAAAGAACTATTGAAACAGGTGAAGAATCGTATTTTAGTATTTTTATTAGTCTGTAGATCCGTATGTACTTCACATTATATTACATCACTGTTGAGTGGATTCATTTAATGCTACACACTAATACAGTGTGCTTCGTTAGGTTTAATGTTACTTTATGGGACTGTGCTATACTAGGTTCCCAGATTCTTCATGTAACATTCTATGAACCTTCCTTATTTTAAAGACCGGAGATTCGGATGGGCTGAATTTTAAAAAAAGGCGGCAGCTGAACCTATTCTCCACTAGCTGCTAGATAAGTGTTAAAGCCAAAGGGTTACATTCCCACTCACAAAGTTCCGACGTTAAGTGTTACTGGTTTCCTTAGTGTAAATCGTATAGTCAGTTTATTTAGCATTATGCCATTGGTCTCTGGCAGATTTGTTTCTGACTTCCTGGTAAAACGCTCATGAACTTAGCATGGTTTTTTTCACTCAAGTTCTTATGGTATAGACAGTTAAGAGATATCATTTAAACACATGCTTCCATTAGTTTCGAAGGACACTGAGACTATCATAAGCCTTGTCATCGTTATGTAGTAAATTTCCCAGAAAATTTTCAGCCGGATTCACAATAAGCCAGAAACCTTCACTATTCAAAACTCTAACAGCTATTCTGAAGCATACCTAGATAGTTACATTGTGGTTAATCATTTGAATTCACCTAGTTAAATTGAGATTGGAGACTATGTGGATAGCATAGACGACCTTGTAGGCATCATTATGAAAAACTAACTGAATAATGCCAGCTAGATGTCTGTGTCATCACCTAACTCCTACTAGGAACCAAAAGTTTGGATGCTGTCTTACCAAGTGACTCAAGGGAATGAAGGTATGTTAAATGTTAGGAAAGGTTTCCAAATGCTACTTTTGGAAACCCAGTGTAGTGAACGGATAGTGGTAGTTGCGTGCTACAACTGATAATTATCTATGTCTTAAAACGTAAATGAGGTTTTCGTACTTCGGATGCAGAAATATGCCTGGTGTTTTTCGCCAATGATTAACAAACAAGTCTTTTGAAACATTTTTTACAGGAATGATTATACTAAGGTTTGCGCTTAGAAGTCCGCCCGCAAGAAATTTACTTTTGAGTATCTTTTTGAGCGGGAAAATCACCATTTCACTGTAAAAGAATAGTTATGTCATTAAGAGACTAGAGTATTTTAATCACTTGCTTCGAATTGTTGTTCACAGTGATGCATTCCTGTGAACTTTAATCACTGTTGGAAGCAAAGTCAGATAAAATATAGATTTATTAAGTTAACTCAGGTGCCGTAAATAACAATTAGCAGGGAATAGATGTATTTTATGGGGGTTGCCAACTGAACTTACGAAAGGTAGGACTTGAAAGGCATAGTGTCTGTGAATTTGGTCTCCCAAGATTAAATATCACTTAATTTACCAGGTAGGCGAGTGAAACTACGCTTGTAACACTCAAGAAATAGTTCGACTTTATTCACGTCTTAGCATTTCACTATGCTATCGAACTTTGAATGGGATATTCGTTATTCTGTACCAATACGAAGTTTTTTCGGTGTTGCTTAAATTGTGTACAGATCATAGATGCAACTTCCCATCGAGATCTAAATAAAGTGAACATCAATAGGCTTTACAGGCCATGACCAGTGAATATGTAAACCCGAAGGAAATTTATTTCACCACTATCACTTCCACAATATTGTGAAGATGGTGTGTGACAACCATATGAAGCTTAGACTTAGGATTCAAGGTTAGTTAATTTGCTTTTGAATGTATACTTTTTGGGGCGAATAATATATATGTTTTCACATATTACCCACTGGAACTTACAATGTCAGTGAAACTAGGACTAAGTGAGTACCAAGCCAGGCGTTGCTGTACACAGACAGAATACGTGAATGGTGATATTGAGCCTTCGGATGATTGTAAGATGTTTGCTTTGCGTCCATAAAACAATCAAACTCACTGGATAGAGACTGTAAAATTTGGCACTACAAATAGGTCGCTGTAGAGGAGATGTGTCCTATATTTGTTTTCAAGTTTTTTTTGTCTCCTAATAATTCATGCGCATATTTCCTACGTAATAATTAGTAACTCTATAGACAAAAATTTATTTAGAATAGATTGAGACCCTTAACTAACTACTACTCATTTCCTTGTGCATATAAGAACTAACTTGTGACCTGGGAGATCAGATGTAGTACTCCAAATGTAAAGTAATTGAGGGGAATCAGCAGGATAACTGTAATGTTGGGTAGCGGTCGAAAAAGTTGGAATAGTTTAAGTCAGAATCACAGATTTAATCCTGTCCTAATTTAATGCATTTGTATTTCTGCCTCTGTATCACTTCATTTAAAGTGTATTACTGACTTTCTTATCTTATGTACCGTTGCAGTTGTGAATTGGCTTTATACACCATGAAAGTAGAAATAAAAGGGAGTGATTATTTGGTCCTGTATGGCTAGACATCAAAAATGCATCAGTCTGCGACAACTTCGGGTTTTCACGGTAAAAATTGGCATTTTCTGTGAGTCAAACCAGTAGGGCAGCCTAAAAGCATCCCTTTTAGTGATATCTCAAAGAAACTCCACTTATATAGAGATTTTTCGTTTCGGGAATCTGTGAAATTTGATAGTAAAGTATGTGGTACTTTCCACTCCCTTTTATAATATTAAAACACGATTTTCTGTATAGTCATCCTAAAAAATCTGTGACAATTACGCGCTAATGTAATCTTTTAACATCAAAGTGCCTAGTAAACACCTTATCCGATGTAGTTAGAGGCTTTCATGAAACAATTTATATTCATTATCTGGTAAACAGTGCTTGTGCCATGTGAGATATAGAAGACATGTACATGTATTTGCCGTGTTTTTTACCCTTTAGGCTTTTCGTGCTGTCAAAGAAAGTTGCGACCGTCTACTCCCGTCGGATATGTCGGATCTTATTCCATATGCAGACAAACCTATACAAAGTCGGGAAGTCAGCACAGATATAAAGATACTGATCGAGGCTAGAGAAAAGGCAATCAAAAGACTTCTAGCAGTGACAGCTGAGTTGGAAAAATTGCGTCGTGGTCTAACAAAAACAATATGGGAACTAAACGACTTATCTGACCCATGTATATTAAATTCATAAATATTTCTCTTGTACCGACTAAAGTATATGCGCATAAATACATGTATTGACAAGTAAATCATAAAGAATCTTTGTTCTTTACTTCCTCAGATATTTATACACTAAAATTTAGCTTATAACTACTTAATCTAGCGTGTCGTTTAAAACTTCTGAAGCAATGAAGAAGGTAAATTGATCAACTTTTATTTCATACAGCCATAATTGATGCACAGATTGGAAAAGATACTGAAATCTAGATGAAAAACAGTCGTCCTTTTTACGATAAAAAATGTCACAGGTCACTTCGGAAGTAAATGTATCCATTAATCTAAAGTGTACTTCCATTTGTTAAGATTAAATGTACGCACACATTCATCGCTGCACAAATAAGTCAAGACGCTGGGTGGGTTCATCCGGTCGGACGATATGTTCCACCAACTATAGTATGGTACCAAAACACGATAAGGTTCCACACCGCAGCTCAAACGGCAGCATAAACATTTCCGAAATACAGCCAAACGAACACGCAGTGTCCAAGGTAAACACTTCTCGAGACATGGATACCTGTATGATTAAGAAAGAAAAATTAAAGCATTCATCAAAACAATAAAGCCTTATTTTGCAAATTGCTGAGACCATGTCACATACTTGACGTTATGGCTCTGTCAGTTAATAGAATTTTGAGCAGAAGATTTCGATGTTGAACATTACTCAACTTCTTTTTTATCTAAATAGGAATTATTAATACCTAAATGCAAAGTAATATATAATTTTTATAGATGGACTCTTGTTGAAAATGTTTTCCTTACGTTTCGCATTCCTCGACAGTGCGCACCCACAACCTCAGAAATCTTAACTTTTGTTTATTCGCAAAATAGTGTCATAACCACCAGCTAATCCCCGATACCCATATATCGCAAGCCGACTCAAAACATAAGAGAAGAAAAAAGTCGGTGATATTCTTTCTTGGGTTAATTTGCATTTCTCGTTGATTGATTGCGGTGTACTGAAATGCTCTATGAGTGCAACGTCTTTGTCCCGGTGGGGGCACCATCGCTCACTAGCAGTGCATGTACATCCCAACTGATGAATTTAAAAATGGGCGAAACGCCCGTCCTGTACTTCACTGCTAGTCACCATCAACAAAAATAACATTGTTACTATAGTCCAGCGTTTCTTCTGATGTTATGTTTGTTAGAGTGAAGTTGACAGGATAGTGGGTGTGAATACTGACAAATTAGAAACTATGGCAGATTAGCGTGTTCAAGTGGTTCTCTAACTAGTGTCATTCTGTGGCGAAATCAACCTTCAAATAGCAAAAACATTCATGAGGACAATAAGTTTGAGTGAAATTCCCCTAGACAACTAACAGATATGCTGCAAACACGTCAGTTTGTCTCTGAATGCAGTATCATTGCTTAACAGTAATAACAGCTTAATCCTTTCATAATCTTCAGCTGAGGTTGCAAAAACATACTTATGCATAACTGAACACGCCTGGAAAAGCACTTAACTGAGATGTATGTACGGACGATACCATCGAAGAAGAAATACAAAACCTTACTAAAATTTTATTAGATAATAACTATCCCCTAAAATTCACTAAACACTAAAGAAGCACTAAACAAAGGGTCCTGTCAATCTAGTCAGTTTGCATTAAAGCGTGATCACCAGTTAAAGACTCAGTGCGCACTCAACAGATCCTGCTCTATGCAGCTAAACTCATTTTCATAGAGAAAGCGAGATTTGTGTTGTCTTATAAACCCATACAGCGTCCGAACGATATTGTCACATCCCATTATATCTACCAATTTACATGTACGTGTGGTCACAAGTACGTAGGGAGGATCCATCAATCTCTACAGGTCAGGGCTACAGAACAGTCGTTACATTCGTAAGTGGCTGCAAGAACAAATAAAATAATCTGATAAAATGAATCCCACAAATAGATGTCTAACAATATTTACCGCAAAGAATATCATAGAGTCAGGTCATAAAGCTGATTTCAATACTGTCTTGAAACCCATACATAAAACAAGTTCTTTGGAACAATAGCCATGAAAAGGCTTAAACCTGTTTTATGTTCAAAAATTATTTGTCATTATTCTAAACACCACCACCTTTTTCTACCTGTTATCTGTGGTTTTCACCTGTAAACATTTTGACTTATATTAGTAAAAATTATGGTCTTTTATACTTTCTTTTAATATAAATATGTATAACAAGTGCACACTACACTACACATTTTAGATAAATTGTATCTTCTTGTTTTGTCAAAATTCATAACGGGAACTAATTGCTTTAAAAGTAGTTATATTAACAGGTGATCCCAATGTTCAAGTAGGGAAGCTGTGGTAAGCAGAAAAGCAAAATGATGGTACCTATGGAGTTACATGCAGACACACTGACAACAGTTATCATCTTCTACAATTCTGTTCACATAACCATCTGTTATTCGTCAGAACTTAGGAAAGACACTGACCAACCTTGAGACCTCCATTATCAAATCGATGATGGACAGAAATAGATCATGTAGCTTTAAGGTATATATGGATAGAGTCCACAGAATGTCGTTCCTTCAGGAACATCTACGTAGACCTCTGTCAGGCTCGTCGGTGGCACAGTGGTTAGGACTCTCGTCGACCATGCACATGGTCCGGGGTTCGATCCCCTGCCGGCGCACATCCGATATCTATGGTCGGCCTGTAAATTTGGGCTACCGATATCCATGCTGAAAATTCCATACTTGTACTGAAAATACGGTGTGGAATCAAGCCGTAATCAAAATAAATAAAAATAAACTTCTGAGCACATACACGCCTACGACTGAGCAGACGTTGAAAACAAGTAGCTACAGAACCCATGCGGCCAGAACTTTTTGATTAATGCACAAAGCCTTTATTTAGAGAAGAAATGACTAAACACGTAACTAAGGTCGGTAGCAAGACATCCTGAGGAAGCATGGCATAATATTCAGTCAACTACAGAGACAGTAGTAAAGGTTGTTGGTAATCTGACACTAAAGGTTAGTAAATACCAATCGACTTCTGCAGCTTCATCCAAAATGACGTAGGTACGAAGACTGATTCCGGTGGGGTCAGAAAAATGACGAGGAGCGGAAGCTGCTTGAAAGCAAGCTGACTAAAAGTCTCCACAATGACCGTGAACAGTGATGAGCGTCAAAAGAAAAAAGATGTAAAAAGTAGAGACATCAGGCAAAACTAGGAAACTACTTATATATAATAAAGAAACGGGTTGTAAGCAATCAGTGGCAACTGAAACGTTTTTCGACAGCAGTATTTTAATTACCTCTCAGGACGGACGACTGAAACGTTGAAGAGAACATTTTGACTGGCATAAAGTCACACTGAATTCGCCAAGCATCCAAACTTACCTGCGTGGGATGAAGAAATCGGACCTCTAACCGTAACTGCGGTTACAAAAGCTTTCCTTAGTGTGAGACGAGGCGAAGCAGTGGCACCTGATGGTATGGCTTTAGAGGTTTAAGGATAGTGGAGATGAACTATTGACTGGGTTAATCAAAATATTAAGTAATGTTTGGAAATCAAAGATAATCCCGTTGGGCTGGTGGAAATAATTATTTATCCCAGTTTATAAGAGAGACAAGCCTTCTTGTGATAATCAATGGGTGATTAGCTTGATTAACATAGTAATTGAAATTCTAGGTTCAATTACTAAGTATACACTAAGTGATGCTCATGAGAAACAAGCAGGTGAGAATCAGGCAAGAACTAGGCCAGGATGTGGATGTGTTGGCTATATCTTCAGTAATCGACAGGTTCTACAAAGTGGGCATTGTTGCAAGCATCCGAAGCCTGCTACATTTCTTGACTTGGCGGTAGCACTTGAATCCATCGACTTAGACTTGTTGTGGCAACATCTATTAGCGATAGTAGTGCCGAAGTGATCAATGCACTGGATTTGAACTCACTCAACAGTGTAAGAGCTTACAGACAGTTGCCATCCGAAGTGATGACAACCAGTATTGTCCATCAAGGATGCCTGTTGTTTCAATTTTTGTTTAATTTCATTACAGATATACTAATTGGATTGACTGTAACTGACTTCAGAGACTTAAGGATTGACTTGTCACCAGGGTATAATCCCGACCGACTTGAAATATACGGATGATGTTGTACTCCTAGGCGAAGACGCTGACAAAATGAGAAGTCTTCTGCACATCTTGAGCAGAAATATTAGTATGTTTGGCACGCGATTCACCCCTGTCAAATGTAAGATGATGTTGTAGGACTGGTCTGCACCGATTCCAAGTTTAAAGATGGACGGTGGAATGATTGTGTTGGTCACTTCACTTATTCGGAACGTTGTGTCAGTCCTAAACAGCTGATGGCTGACGAAATCTTGATACGGATACAAAAAGCTCGTGTGACATTTGCCAACTGACATCATATCAATCGTAGACGTAACATCCGACTGTTGACCAAAGGACGTGTGCTGTGCAGTAGTTTGCTCTGACCTCCTTTATGGCTGTGAGACACGCCAACTGAAAGTGGAAGATATGAGAACGCTAGCTGTCTTTGAACACAAATGTCTGCGTTCTATTTCTAGTGTTAATTCGTATAATATGATGAATAATAATGAAGTTAGGTTAGGAGGAAAAATTAATCGATTAGGCTAGGAAGCTAAATCGATTGAGGTAACTAGGGCATGCGCTACACATGCCACGACGAGCGATGTTAGCCGGCATGGGATAATATTGGGAAACAGTTAAGAATGATCAAAAAACCAGGCATCAGTCCACGAAGTCTTCGATTGTTTATTTGAGTCATATAGGAAGATGCTGACTGCCTGGTCGGGGTCGCAGAGACGCTAAGAAATGACGGTCTGAAACTGCTAGTGATATGACTCAAAATCGTTCTCAATGGTGCAGATGCATTCACTCCTTATGAATTCCCAGCCCAATCAAATTCTCATTACACTCTGCCCACTTATTTAATGGTGGGTCCTACCCTTTCAATTAATCGGTGACTTATTGAAATTGTAAGTACTATTTGATTATTTTTTCTAGCAATCTCCATAACGAAATACTGTGACAACAGGAAGAGAAACAAGGATATGCGGGAGTTTGTGAGCTACCGACACGACCCCTACGCATACGCTATGAAGATTTTAAGAAGCATATGATGTGTACCTGCGAATCAACCTAATACTGGAGTTGAGAAAAATGAAGACAAGTATTTATGGGTGTAAGAAGCAACCTTATGGTATGTAGCCGAAACATAAATGAGAAGGTAAAATAAACTTTAAAGTCATGTTTTCTTTTAATTCTCCTCTGACTCAGTACAACTTTACTCTGAAGTCTCAATTATACGACAAATAATCCAAAAAATACTCCAAATCACTAGTCCATTTATCTTGCATTAGTTTTCATATGATTATCTTAAGATAAAGTGGATTCATAAGTGCTGCGGATAAACCTGATTCCTTATCATCAAGAAAGTACATGAACAAGGCATTACACAAAAGTATCATCTCGAAAAGTAATGTAGTTGATCAAGTACAAACACATCACTCTTTTCTGATATTGCGATTACCCCAAAACATACAAGCAAATACAAAGCACAACTTCACCAGTTGTACATGATTTGATTGGCCAATCGGTTCTTCTGATTGTTCCCAAGAGGAAGTAAATGGAAAACTTAACATAGAAAACAACTCACCAATTACTACGGACAAAAGCTAAGGATGCGCAGTTCAACAAGGACGGAGCGACTCTACTTGGTTTCACCTCCGTATCGGAAGGCAGAAAAGTATTACCGTGTACTGACAATTGATTTAATCGATGAATAGTCAATACTAGTGGCAAACAATCTAGTTGATTACTATTCAAAGTAAGTGTAACCAAACACTGCAACTTGTGCAGATAAGCGGTTGGTATACCACGCAATAGGTTAGCTGTTGGAAAAAATATACAGAGAATGTTTATTTATCTCATTATATTAAAGATAAATCAAAATTACGAGGTCATATAGCACTCTTCATCAAGTATGTTATATTTTTACACATTAACATAGTACCACAGCAACTACTGATAAGTTCATTTGCCGAACTGCATACATGCATCATTCTTTCTTGGATTACGTTTAGCACATAAACAATAAAATTATCATAAGCGAAAACTGGACTCAAAAAACCTCGACAAATCGATCGTCAAAAAACGGCATTGCGTGTCTGTAATCAAAGTTAAGAAACAGACCCCCTTACCGACTCAACTCTTGCTTATCACTATGTACTAAAATGAATATGCGAATCTGAAAACTAAAATACAGTGTCTGAATGATATTCGCCTAAAAGTTTCCAAGAAATCCACAATAATGACTTCTGCAATTTCACTATAACCTAAAATAATGATCAGAAATGGCACTGTAGTGTGTTTTCTTCTACATTCACAGTGTTATTAGATGAGAAAAAGTACCAAACCTGTAAGAAAATAATCTGATCTTTTGTTTTATAACTTACTTTTACTTTCTTCTACAACTTGCTGTTTAATTTGCTTTCTACAGAATCAAATAAATTCCCAAACTTTGACAATTCCCCGTAGAGTATATGAAACCGCTTATTTGTAATGCAATACTCGCTAAACAACTTTGTCTATCATATTTGCTGCGAAACGTTTAGCAAGTTGCGTACTTTTCAGCAACTTCACAATCGCATATGAAAGTTATTCAACACAGATTATATTATGGCTATCTGAATTTAAGTGTGATCAAAAACAGAACTTTGCACAGAAGTTCATTATTTCAAGTTAACACACTTCCGAACAAACACAAAAATAACATAGAATGAAGCTATTGTGAATGAAGGAGTGCAGATGGGAGAATTAGATGGTGTGTAATACTAAAAAGTTTTCTAATTAAGAAGATCAGGAGCGAATACATCCCACCTCAGGAATCCGTAACTATCGATGCTTAACATTCTCAAGACTCCATCCAGACAACCTAATGGCATACACCAACGGTTAATGACTTCATTAACTGATGCAGTATTACTCTGACGTTGTAGTTCTTCTTTAGGATAATTCTATTTCAGGTAGCATCGCTCCTCAAAAGGATGATCCTCGATGTTCCTAGATGTCTCAGCCAGACAATCAAGGAAGTCCCGTATCCGAATTGACTTTTTGACCCGCACAACTTCTAATCTTAATGTTATTCGATATCTGATCATACCTTGGGTGAACTATGAGACGAAAATATAAATGGTTTAAAACATATAATGTCCAAGTTCTGGCATGTGAGTCAAGTACTACTATTAAAGTACTAAAAACGTGAGATTATGCGAATGTTTATGAAATACACTTATTCCATCACTACAGTGTGTAGGATCAGAAATAATAATTAGCATTACAGCAGTTTCAAAATGAAACATTTGTTTTTTTGCAATAAACTTAATGAATACCAGCAAAAAATATTATTACTGAAAACTATGGCGGTAATTAAGACACAAGTACTAAAAAGATATAACTTACAATCCTGCAGTGCAGCTGTGTAATGTTTATATCTTCAACAGAAATCTGGATATGTAGCGGTACAAAATGTCAGGATGTTTGATTTCTAGTTAATTACAACGATGAATTTCATACCACCTACTCATGTATGTGAAACTAGCTGTTGCGATTCATAATTCAATGATGTAGGCACATTTATTTATCTTCGTTAGATAGATAGTAGCTACAGATACCCCTTAACAATCACTAAGACGTTTTACATTTGTATGCAGGATGCATAAAGCAAGCAGTAGAGTAAAAAAAATGATTGTCTTTCCTCAGGTAGCAGCTAAAAATATAACTAATATTGCTTAAGAAGAACTTAGGAGTGAGAGATAATTAGTGAAAAAACTTACTTGAAAGATCAACGTTCCTAAGTTTTGAAAGTAACCAGAAATCATCTGGTAGCCAAAGCAGCAGATTGTGGGCTAAATTTATGTATTCTAAGGATTTAGCCAGCGCCGAATTTTCAGGAATTGATGGCCAACTTGTGAGGTGATTGTTATTCAAGTGTAGCTGGACTAAATTGAGATCTTGTATTTCTTGAGGTATGCTTTGCAGATAATTTTTACTTAAATCGAGGGAACGCAGACAAAATAATTTAAGTATTCTTGTGTCGAACTGACGCAATCTCAACTCTTTCACGGATAACTCCTGTAGAGATGCACTGAAACCCTGGCTGAAAGGATAATCTTCTCGTCTTGTAATACAAAGTCGTCGGTGACTACTACTTTTAATCTAAAAACATTGGTGAACTATTCAGAGACATACCTCGGTTAAAGGACTGCGTTTTAAAATTCCTCTAGGTAGCTTTTTGTCGGATTTTATCAGATCAAGAATTTCGATTAATCTTCGTAAGTCCGACGGTTGAGCCTAAATAGATTACAAATCAAAATATGTCATTTGAGAGACTGAAGACATACAGTTCGATTCTGTACTCTCACAACTCAAGTAAGAATCATAATTTAGCCCAGAAGACAAAAAAGAAGTTATTTGGTGACGCAGGATGTGAAGAATGAAGCACTCATTCGTTTCGTACCACAGGTACTTAGTGTAACGAACATAATTTATGAGCAGCACAACCACATGTCGTACTTCTAAAGGGGTATACCAATTACACTGCAGAATTCCCTGGTACGACTACTGGAGGAATCTTACTCTGACTGACGTGATAGTTAAAATATACAAGAAACCTCAGCTAGCACTGACTTCGACCGCACTGCAGGAACTCTGAGGCAATGCAGAGGACTGACCCACGTTCTGCAATGCACCCGAAGATTTTAACCGGAAAATTCCGCAGTGCGCCTGAAGAAGATGCTAGCTGGGACTCTCTGGCAATAACTCCGGGTCGAACAAGATATAGCTATTAGGCAGTAAAAGGATTGTTTAACCACTTTCCATGCTTCAGAAGTAGCGATAAATGAGACAAAATTCAACAAATGACATTCCCAAACATATCAATTTGTATTTATTTATATTTACTGTCATACCTTTTGTAGCATAATGTCTTTAGCTGGGTTTTTTAGCCGTATTGTTAAACTTCCGTCTTTTACATGACCAGTAAATAACTTCTCTATGTTTGCTGATATCTATAAATGAGTTAATCCACCGGTGAAACGAATTGTCGATTCTCACCTTGTACCGCCGACTGATATTGGAAGAAAGGTAAGAAATGGTGATATAAATAATGTCTTCATCTTTATATAATGTTAAAAGACCTTCTTTTGGTTTGCCTACCACACGCTGGCAGGAATCCCAGTCACTAACCAAAACTTTTGAACATATTCTCATCACCGCGACTTATCGGTTTTAGTGTTGTTGCTTCGTACAAACAACCTTCATACTTTCAAATTGTTTCTTCAACTCACATCTAATTCCTCTCTTAACTAAATCGCTAATACATCATACCTAGTAAAACAGCCAATAGCCTACAAAAATGGAAATTGCACCGATAGATAAGTTCTGTTATTAGCACAAGTAATTGATTACGAATCTCTCTTGTTTTTGTATTTTTAAAAAGATTCAGTGTTGTTAAACCATATTTATGCAGTCGCCCAGTCCATACGTCACCGCTTGATTCACCAATAGCAACTTATTCGGCTGTCTGGTCATCCAATCGCCTGAAATGTCTCCGCCAACCGTCAGCCTAAAATAGTAATGAATTCATTTATGCATGGGCATTACATTAATGTCTTAGTCCACATCAGTATCACCCTAGCGTTCTCTGAGTAGCATTTCTATGTGCATATACCATCGGCTAGTACAGACCTTGTCATTTTACTTATGCAGAACTAGTCTATTTCTGGAAAGAAAAAGAGACACGAGCGACAAACACACATGAGGCACAATTGTGGCTTATGGATCTCTGTATGTTGGGCACAATGAGTCAGCTGTACTCACACCTAAGCTGTTTACACAGTTGTGAATAAACTACGTTTTGCAACATCTTGGCAGTAACTATTATGTTGCGACATCATTTCTGGAGAGGGAAGCACATTCATAGGAAAGCAACTGAAACTGGGCTGAAATACAGGCTGTGTTATGACCGACTACAAAGGAAAGACCTTCAGGATCATATTCAAGATCCCTTTCAAAGCGACTAAACCTAGAATACCCAAATAAAAAATAATTACTCAGAGGGAAGTAGGGAGCTCCCCTGCGAATTTCAGGACGAACTAGATGTCAGAGGGCACTAATGCACATTCGAGTCAGTTGTTTAGCTGTTGGAGTGTTATGCCTATGAAACTCATTGCTAGCCGATCTGGTCACCGTTGCTTCAATTGATGGCTTCAGAAGAAGACTAGACAACTATGTAAATATATTTTATCTGCTCAAAAGTGTTGGGGGATTAGCCAAACTCTAAGGAAATGTTTTGCCCCTATGATCCTCCACTTGACTCTCGTCTCATCTTTATGATTTAATTCAGTAACTTTCTTTGTATTCACTTTTGTTCTGATGGTGTGTCCTCTTTCTAACATGTAATTCTTCTATTCTATCATACATATGTTTTGACAAATAACTTAGTTGATTTTGCCTCTATTTCTTTAATGTATTCTTTTCAGAAACTTTCTAAAGTTACTCTCTTAACGAATTTGAATTAAACAAAAAAGGAGTTTTTGCAGAAAAAACGGTTCCATCGTTTACTTCTTTGGCTTCTCATAGTCTACTTACAGCCCAAAGACACTAAAATGTATTTCTGCAGAAGTATGGTACCATTTTATTCTGCAAAAACTGTTGTTTTTGCTTTATTCGTATTCTTTTCAGTTTGCTTTCAAGAATTTGTTAGAATCACCTCTGAAACCACAACTGCTCATCCTAGAAGTGGCGCTTTCATGCAACTAAATGTTCATCTCTTTCAAAATAAACTGCCCCCTCTCTCTGATCTACACCGGCCGAGGAGAAACGCATTTCAGGTAGCCCCATTCTCCGAAACTTATATTAATACGATGGAGTGACTGTAAAACAGTGTTTAAGGCAGAATTTCCTAGTTAATTGTTCACTGCGTTGAGGATTAGAAGTTGTACGTCCACATGGATCCTCTATGCTGCATCGATGTGGATGGGTAGAGATGTTACACTGAATAAATTGGAGAATGTCACTGAAGCGAATAGCTTCGGTGAGGAATTCTACCTATTCCAATTGAGTGTGGGAAACAAACTTACGCATGGAGACGATCAGACTTTAGGGAGATTTCCTGCAAGTAGCTGGTTTTAGAATGAAAAAATTAATAGGGTATATGACGATCCAAATTATAGGGCAAGATAAGGAATGCTAATATGAGTCAAACCTTCAAGCGCAGATATTACAAATGGAATAAATCTGGGAGATTGAAATTCTTGTAACAAATTTCTGAAAGTCGTTCATTGCAATTTCTGTCCTACAATCCATCTAACGGTACATATGAACTCCTATCATGATATAGCCCAGTGGTTCTGTAAAGACCAGGTTCTAAATAAAGTATAGTACAGTTTTACTCACAAAGATTTCGGAATCACTGAAAACAGACAATTCTTCGCGGAAATAATCGAAAATCAATGGTTTACTCATCCTGTATTCAGACAGCTAGGTGGCAGAAACAGTGCACAGAGTTTCTTTTTCAGAGCTTGATACGGGAGGAAAGTTTCAGTAATGGAGATAGGTCACAACACGTGTTTTAGTTTAAGAAGTCGGTGCGAAATACCTATATAGGAAGACGGTTTGTTTTATCCGCATAAAACCGGATAGAAACTTGCACAGCAACCCCAGTGATGATATTTATGATATTTATTCTCAGTCTATTTTGAGCTGGGGAATCCAAGTAACAGACATGAAAAGTATGGAGCATTATAATATATCCTTAACTACTTATTCGTAGTTAATGAAGTCAGCTGCGTCATATGCCTTATTGTTTGCACACGAAATAATGGGGATGCATGAAAGACTAGAAAATAATTTACACAACTTTTTCACGTAGGGGAGCATATCTCAGTGTATAAAATTAGATTTGTGCGTTCTGTCCATTATTATATCAATCGTGTGCTAAAAGGAGAAAGACACGTGACAAATAGTCAACAAGTGCCTGGTTCGACAAACAGTTGTGATGATTTGGGGATTGTCATAAGTAAGATTCAACCTATCCTTTTTTTATCAGTGTGGTTTTGAAAATGTCACTGATTAATTTTTATGGTGCCAACTAGTTCTATTATGAGAAATTCAGCTGCTTAAATAGTGTTACGTATTACCTCTCTCGGTAATTCAGAATTTCATCAGGGTTTCATTCGAAATAAAGGGGCAGATGCCATTGTAAGGTCACTTAATGTTTAGTTAGAACAACATATGATTGTCCAGAATTCCACAGATTCAATGCTGGGTGATGCCGTAGTTGGGGTCTGTTTCAAACTGAATCAGAATGTTATACAACCGACAGTCTGGTTGGAATCTGCTTCGAGTGTGAACATAGTTTTATTTTAATGCTGCGGGTATTTTTACCAAACAGCCTTAGTTCTGAAGTCGTAAGGCTAATCGTGTGGAAGCGTTTCAGTTTCATGGTGTGAGTGCAGACTCTGTGTATATTTTTAAGGACATGGTGTTGTTAAGTTGTACTCTTACCAGCCACATTTGTTCTACAGCATGTTCATTAAACTTATGTATGTCATATCTCTTGTCTTAAAACACAAAATAATGTAGATCACATGAAACCATCGTTCTGTATGGAAGAAAATAAAGAAAGGTTCGGATATACACTGTGGAGGCCACTAGGTAACATCGCGCGCCGAGCCCTAGAGTGGAATCCAAAAGAAAAACAGCCAGTTGGGTTCCTGAGAGTACACGGAGTGAATCGTGTGACTAAAACGTGTAAGCTTAGGGGCAATAGCGGAGTCATATGAGGAAAACAGGGTGAAATGAAGATGTTCTGTTGAAGCCCTATGTTCCATATGAAACCCAAGGGAGTAATAAAAATAATATGCCACTCCTGAAAGGATCGACCAAACCTACGGAAGAAAGAATGCCTGATAGACTACTTAGAAGATTACTGAGGATCAGTGGCCTACATCTTACAACTAAGACTGTGACTCTAGGAAATCAACGTGGCCTATACTTGCTCATAGAAGTTATACTTGGCCACCTAACCTGGTGGCCAGGCTGCTCTTAACACCAACCCAACTAGAGAAAGGAGAGCGGAACAACTGTGGCTCCTGAAAGGTGTATTTATTGACGGTGATTTGAAGAGAGTGTACGACTAAACAGTCACACCACAACGAAGCTACCGAGCTCCTGTCCCTTGTAAATTATCTTGACCAATATGTGATTCAGTCCACAAGGATAAACTAACTAATCGTTGAGATTTAACTGAGTTGACGAACTTCTTTGATCCCCTGCAAAATAGCGTTTCGTCTGCCCGATATTTCGACATTTTTCATTCTCAACATTCAACATTTCAAAATACGACAAGCAAGTGAATATGATGGGACAATTCACACATCTACAAACACTAGTAAGCTCTCATGAAGACTGTTGCATTGAGGGGACTAAAATTAAAACTAAGTCTATAGCAAAATACCTCGGTCTCGTTCAATCTTCCGACCTTACTTGGACATCTCATTTACTAACGATTTCCAAGAAAGTGTTCTGTCTAACCTACTACATTAAGAAACTTAGACAATCTGGAATCACCCAACCTCTACTTCCACAATTTGTCAACTCTTGTATCTTACCTATTCTACTTTACTGCTCCCCGTTTGTCTTTCCTGGTCTACTGAAAAAGGACTATACCATCCTGAGAAGGATGTTGAAGGTAGTCAGTAGGACTAGCGGTGTAAAACTCAGTCAGCTCGTCACTACTTTAGTTGATAGGCATCTGAATACATGCGAAAAATTGTCAAAAACCATACTCTCCGACCCCCAACACCCCCTCTATTCCCAACTCTCGCCTTGTATCTCATCAAGTAAAACCAGAAATCGGTATAAAATAATCTATGCTCGTACAACCAAGTACAGGAGCTCAACGATACCATACTTGGCTCGTGTCCCAAGTAACAGAGACAATGTTAAGCGCAAAACCTATAACTTGCTTTGTTGTTAATAACATAATTTTAGGCTCTTTTATTTCACTCTTATTCTGTATTCTATAGCGAACTCCTTCTTAAACACACTTAGCTACCCAAATTATTAACATGGCTTCCTTTTTTGTACTTTACTATATTCCTTCCATTGTCTATCCACTGGTTCCGACTATATTAGCACTATGAGTACTACAAAATTGTCCTTTCATTAATCATCATGTAGTTATTAGTTTTGTGGTTGTTGTTTTCTTATTTTCTATACTTT